TGCTTTGGGTAGTATGAACATTTTCACAATGTTAATTCTTCCAATTCAAGAGCATGGAATGTCTTTTCACCTTTTTGTTTCTTCTTTCAACAGTGATTTTTAGTTCTCCTTGCAGTGATCTTTAACCCCCTTGGATAAGTTTAATCTTTCCTAGGTATTTTTTTTTTTGTTAACAATTGTAAATGGGTTAGTTTTCTTGATTTCTTTTTCTGCTAGCTCATTGTTGGAGTATAAAAACACTACTGATTTTTGTATGTTGATATTGTACCCTGCAACTTTACTGAAATCACTTACTAACTGTAAGAGTTTTTTGTAGAGTCTTTTGGTTTTTCTGTTTATAAGGTCATGTCATCTACAACCAGGGGCAGTTTGACTTCATCTTTTTCAGTCTGGATGCCCTTTATTTCTTTCTCTAGCCTGATTGCTCTAGCTAGCATTTCCAATACTGTTGTTAAATAGGAGTGGTGAGAGTGGGCATCCTTGTTTTGTTCCTGTGATGATATTGATGGTATGTTTGTCATATACGGCTTTTATTGTGTTGAGATACTTTTCTTTTATACTTAATTTTCTGAGAGTCTTTATCATAGGGGATGTTGAATTTGTCAAATGCTTTTTCTGTATCTATTGAGATAATTGTATGGTTCTTGTCATTGATTTTGTTGTTGGTGTATTATATTTATTGACTTGCATATGCTGAACCTTGCATCCCTGTGATGAATCCCACTTGATCATGGTTTATACTTTTTTGTGTGTATTGCTGTATTCTGTTTGCTAATATTTTGTTGAGAATTTTTGTGTCGATGTTCATCAGAGATATTGGCCTATAGTTTTCTTTTTTGTTGTTGTTGTATCTTTTTCTGGTTTTGGTATCAAGGTGATGCTGGCCTCATAGAATGAGTTTAGGAAAATGGCCTCTGTTTTAATTTTTTCGGATAAAGAGACTTGGTATCAATTCTTCTTTTAAGGCTTGGTAGAATTCAGCAGTAAAGCCATCTGGTCCTGGGCTTTTCTGTTTTGGGAAGCTGCTGATTACTGCTTCAATCTTGTTCCTTTTTATCGGTCTGTTCATGTTTTCTATTTCTTCTTGATTCAGTCTTGGTAGTTTGTATGCATCCAGAAATCGATCCATTTCTTCTGGGTTTTCAAATTTGTTTCTAGTAGTCTCTAACAATTCTTTGAATTTCTGTGGTATTGGTTGTAATGTCTCCTCTTTCGTTTCTGATTTTTGTCATTTGGGTTCTCTCTCATCTCTTTTTAATTAGCCAAGCTAATAGTTTGTCTGTTTTGTTTACTTTCTCAAAAAAAAAATGCTTTGTTTCATTGATCTTTTGCATCATTCTTTGGATTTCTATTTAATTTAGTTCTGCTCAGATCTTAATTATTTCTTTTCATCTACTAATTTGGGGATTGGTTTGTTCTTGTTTTTCCAGTACTTTGATGTGTAACATTGGGTTGTTTATTTGAAATATTTCTATTGTTTTGATGTAACCATTTATTGCAATAAACTTCTCTCTTAGTACTGCTTTTGCAGTGTACTGCAAGTTTTGTTACGATGTGTTTTTATTTTCATTAGTTTCAAGAAATATTTTGAATTCTTGTTTAACTTCTTCTTGGATCCATATGGTATTCAGGAGCATACTTTTTAATTTCCATGTATTTATATAGTTTCCAGAGTTTTGTTTGTTACTGATTTCTAGTTTTAATCCATTGTGATCTGGAAAGGTACTTGAAATGACTTCAATTTTTAAAAATTTGTTGAGACTTGATTTGTGAACTAACAGGTGATCTATTCTGGAGAAAGTTCCATGTGCGGATAATGTATGTGCTGTAGTTGTTGGATGAAATGTTCTGTAGATATCTGCCAGGTCCAACTGGTCTAATGTGTAGTTTAAATCCTGTGTTTCTCTGTTGATTTGTTGCCTTGATGATATGTCCAGTGCTGAGAGAGGGGTGTTCTGGTCTCCACTGTTATTGTATTGGGGTCTATCTCTTTCTTTAGGTCTAATAGTGTTTGCTTTATATATCTGGGTGCTCTGATGTTGGGTGCATATATGTTTATGATTGTTATGTTTTCTTGTTGGATAGATCCCTTTACCATTATATAGTGGCCTTCTTTGTCTCTTTTTATGGTTTTTGGTTTAAAGTCTATTTTATTTGATATAAGAATAGCTATTCCTGCTCACTTTTATTTTCCATTTGTGTGATATATCCTCTTCTATCCCTTCATTATTAGTCTCTGTGTGTCTTTAGACTATTAGTCTGTGAGCTGAGTCTCTTGAAGTCAACATATAGTTGGATCTTGATTTTTTTTTTTTTTTGTCTTTTTTCTTGTGACTGGTAAGGGGATCGCAACCCTTGGCTTGGTGTCGCCCGCACTGCACTCAGCCAGTGAGCACACCGGCCATCCCTATTTAGGATGCTAACCTGTGGCGGGAGCGCTGCTGCGCTCCCAGTGCCGCACTCTCCCGAGTGAGCCATGGGGCTGGCCCTGTATCTAGATTTTTAATCCAATCAGTTGGTCTGTGTCTTTTGAATGGGAAATTTAATCTATTTTCATTTAGGGTTGTTACTGACAGGTATTGTCTCACTCCTCGTGTTTTATTGATTTTTGTTTGGATGTTTTAAATATCTTTTGTTCCTTTCTCTCTCTTTTATTGTTTGTCTTTGTTTCTTGTTGGTTTTTTGAGCTGGTAAGATATAGTTTCTTTCTTTTTGTCATTTGCATTTTGTTCTACCAGTGGGTTTTGTTCTTTCTTGTGTGTTAGTGATCACGTTTTTTGGATTCCAAATGCAGAACTCCCATGAGGATTTCTTGCAGGGCTGGTCATGTGGTGGTGAATTTCTATAGTTTTTATTTGTCTGGGAAATACACTATTTTCCCCTAATTTCTGATGGATAGCCTTTCTCGGTATAGTATTCTTGGCTGGCAGTATTTTCTTTTGGTATTTTGAATATATCACCCCATTCTCTTCTGTCTTGTAGAGTTTCTGTTGAGAAGTCTGCTGTTAATCTGATGGGGACTCGCTTATAGGTGACTTGACATTTTTCTCTTGCTGTTTTTAAGATTTTCTTTGTCTTTAAGTTTTGCCAGTTTGATTATGATGTGTCTCAGAGAGGACCTTTTTTTGGTAGAATCTGTTTGGGGATGTTTGAGCCTCCAGGTCAGAAGGTCCATGTCTCTGCCTATGCCTGGAAAGTTTTCTGCTATTATTTCATTGAATAGGTTTTCAATGCATTTTTCTTTCTCCTCCTCCTCTGGAACACCTGTGATTTGTATGTTTGTACACTTAAAGCTGTCTGCTAGCTGTCTTAGATTTTCTTCATTTTTTAAAATGCTTTTTAAAAAATTATTATTTTTGTCTGCCAGGGTTATTTTGAAAGACTTATCTTCAAGATCAGAAATTATTCTTCTGCTTGCTCTAGCCTGCTGCTTAAGCCCTTGGCTGTGTTTTTTATATGTCATTGAATGAATCCTTCAGTTCCAGGAGTTCTGCTGCATATTTTAAGGTATTACTCTCTTTGTACATTTCCTCTTTCATGTCCTGGATACTCTTTCCCATTTTGTTGTGTTGTCTAACTGAGTCTTCTTGCATCTCATCGAGTATCCTTAAAATTGTTATTCAGAATTCCTTTTCATTTATTTCCAGGGTTTTCTGCTCTATGAGGTCTGGTATTTGAGAATTATTGTATTCGTTCGTGGTATCTTATTGTCTTTCTTTTTTTTCTATCTTTTTTCCCCAAATATTTTTAGTATCTCTATGTTGATGTCTGGTCATCTGGTGGTGCAGTTACTTCTTCTGTTACTCTGGAGTGGGCTTTGAGGAAAGAGACTTCCTTTGGTAGATGTATTTTATATTGACCATTGAGTAGAGGGTTTTAGTATTGGTTCTGGATAGAGGCAGTAATGTAGTCTCCGTATGGGGACTTTGGCTGTATTCAGTGTTGCAATTGCATGTGGGTGGCCTAGGCACTGGGGAATTTAGTGATTCCTTGCTGAGGTTAGTGACCCTGTGCTGGTTCATCAGGGATGTGGGTGAGCTCTCGAGTGCTTGGGAGAAGTGCCTGGGTGCCTTATCACTCTTTGGCTGGGGTGAGTGACCCTACGCAGACTTGTTGGCACCCCAGCTAGTTTCCCTTGACACTGGTGGGTGCACTGGGGTGTATTAGAGTTCCTCAGATTGAATGGGTGACACTGGGCAGGGTTTTTCTTTCCTTTCTCCTACAGGCAGAGGCTCTGTCTGTATCTTTGCTTCTCCCACTTGGGGAATGGGCTGTGGTGATTGGGAATTTTCTTCCTTATACTATTTGGGTGTCCTGGTTTCTGAACTCAGCAGGTTCTTTGTGTCTCTCTCCCCATGTCAAGGCAGTCATGTGGGCTGTGCATGTGCCTCCTATTCGTAGGTGTGCTACCACATGTGGCAGTGTAATTCCTCCTGTGGGTTGGGCCACTGGGTTATGGGTCTGTGCCCACTCACCTCTTTTTCTGGGTTCTGCTACCACAGCTAGAGTAGAGTATAGGTATTCATGTGGTACCCAGAGTAGTTGCAGGGACTCTGAATGAAACAGTTTCTCTAGAAAGGACTGAGGGCAGAGTTTTGACACTTGATTGGTGTCAGGACTTGCCATCTATACTGTGTGAGAAGGTAAACTGAACAAAAGTAAGTTGGATGCTATTTATCAACCTTCAAGATGATTTAATTTAAAATGAAATAGAAAATAAATTTTTTTATGTAATTAAATAAAATAATTTTTATTGTATGTAAAAATCAAATTTTTATAAGTTGGAAATTCTTATGTCCTGTGACAAATAAAAGAGGATTTGACAAAAAAATTGCGTCATAGTAGATTTATTTGAATTTTTGTCTATTAGTTTAAAAAATGGCATATGATGGAGGAAGCAGTAATTTTACAAATAGTTACTGTTTAATGTTAATAAAATATTTCCTGTCTTGGACAGAAACCTAATTGTAATGAAAGTTGTTTTTCTTCTTCTTCTTCAGTTTTGCAGACTCCAACTGCTGGCAAAAATATTTCTACAAAAGGTCCAGAAAAGTTAAAACAATCTGGAAGCATTGATTGTTTCACAGGTAATTAAATTTGGGATAGCCTGTATTTCCAAAAAATTTAAAAGATACTTTTTATTTCACCTTTTTGGTTAAATATTTGTTTGTTTTTACAGAATTAAGTATAATGAATAAGATAAAGAAGAATAAACTATCTAAAGCGATTTACTTAATGCAGAAAGCTTTTTTAATATTTGAGAAAGATGCAACCTCCACATCTTCATGGAACTTTTTGTTGGTAACAGTATTTCATTTGTTGTTTTAGTGCTGACACACCAACTTCTGTTAAAATGAATGATTTATATCCATTTGTTAAAAATAATGTGTTGCCGTTAACATTCATTATGAACTTATAAGTTCTCCATAGGTAGTCCAGCCTGAATAGGGGAACTAATCTGTACCTTGAGTCCTGAAATCTCCTGAAATGAGAGAGTCTCTCTCTGTAGGGGCAGCCAACAAGGGAAGCCAAATAAAATCAGAAGGACTCAAAATAAGGGAAATTATAGAATTGGAGTGACACAGTGCTAGCCTAATGCAAATTCTTACTATGGAACTAAAATGCTTAATGCTCATTGGCTAAGATACCTTTTCTCTCAGATGGATACGGCTAATTTACGGGCCAGTCCCCTTGTTGATACCTTTAATTAGGTCTCACTCTGACCTGGGAATTGTTGTCTTCTTGATTATTCATTATGTGTTGATTTTAGAGTTTAACTTCCTGATGATAATCATGTTCCAAGTTATGGGATCTTCTTTATTTTTGCCCCTGCGTCAGACCCAGAAAAGTTTGATTGCATTGGCTGAGTGAGTGGCACCCAAAGACGTAGACAATAATGCTACAAATAGCTTGGCTGATAAGAGAAGAAAAAAGTAGGTCAAATTTAGGGAGAGGATATGGAGTTAAGAGGGGTTTAAGAGAGAAAATTTAGCATATCAGTATGCTAAAGATGAGCCAGAACAAAGAGAGAAATTGAAGATATGAGAGATCGAGGTTAATATATAGAGCAAAGACTATACAACAGTGAAGAGGATGAGATCAAAAGCACAGATAACAGGATTCATCTTCAGGGGAGGATAGGCTGTAGGGTAGACACCTCATCCTTTGATACAGAAGGAAAAGAGGAGTGGACAGACGGGGATGTAAAAAGCTTGTTGGTGTGCAGCCAGGGAATTAAGTTGATGCCTTCTTGCCTCGGTAACCTGATATAGTAGGAGGCAAGGATATGACATCTGCCAACAGTGGAGGGTGAGGGTAATTAGCAGAACTGGGGAGAGTGAAGATGATTGGAGAGGGGCGAGAAATGGATGAGGGAGCTGATTCTGGGTAAAAGGACTGGCCAGTGTCATGAAGTTCTAGCTGAGGTTGGAGACCATGAATTTTTTAGGGGGCCCCCATCTACATGGTGGTATGACATTATCCTGATATAGTATTTCTCGTAGTAGTGACAGGAGGATATTCATGACAGCAGAGATTTGTGCAAGATTGGATTTTCTTTTGTAGATGAAGGTATGGATTAAAAGTCTGTGGTATTAAAAAATGGGTGCAGATTGAGTAGGGAAGGAAGTGACACCACCAAGGCATTTAAAGACTTGGTGACTATGGAAATATCAAGAGACTGGACATCTCTGTGAGGTCAGACCCAGGAACAAAAAATGAGGGTCTGAGAGAGCTAGATGGATAGGTGTTTGAGGTTAGAAAGTAGAATATTGAAATTTAAGATTTCTTGTATGCAGCACTTCCTGGTCATCTGTCCATCAATTCATCCCTCCAGCAAATAATTATGAGTGCCTGAGACCCATTCAGCAAATATTCAGCAAATATTTATTGAAAGTTCACCATGTGCCTGATAGTATGCTGAGTCAGGGGATAAAACTCTTTCTTCCACAAATATTGATTGACTACCTTTTCTTTGTGTTCCTGCCTTTGTGGCTTCTGCCTTCTCTTTGTGGTTCCTGGATTTATTCATAGATAAACTCAGTGTATGGGAACATGGACAAGTAAATAGTTAATTATGGGTCAATTTCATAGGTGCTTTAATTGCAAGAGTGCTAGGGGAATTTAGCAGGGTAGTACTGAACTTATCAGTGGGGAATGCTTAAGGAAACATCCAGGAAAGTTAGCACATGAAATTGGACAGTGAAAGACAGATGACATGAAGTTGAATACTGAAAGACTGAAGTTGAACATTGAAAGAATACTGAGTAGCCAGAGGAAGAGTAGGGCGAAGAATAGAAAAGATATTCCAAGCAAAGAGAACAACATGTGCAAATGTCCCAAAGCCAGAAAGATCATAGCGTGCTTGTGGTCCTGCAGGCCATTCAGTGTGACAGCTTAGATCCAACAGGAGTAGGAGGTGCTGAGGGAGAGGACGGTGGACCAGAGAGAAAGTAGAGGTGAGTTCATAAGAAGTCTTTCATGCCAGCCTAAGGATTTTGAATGGACAGATGCTATCAGTGTTCAAGCTGGGGGGAGCCTCACTGAATATGAATTCTCATCAGCTGAATGAGGAAGTTTGATGGTGGTGTTGCGTCTTCTGAAGTGACAAGGCTAAGTGGTGTCTGATCTTTGTTGGAAGACGTCCGGGGTGTGTTCAGATCCATTTTCTCAGCAGATGTTTCTTTGGCCATTTGCTACTGTCTAGTGCTGAGAGGACATTGGTACTTCAGTCCTATTTCTGCGGCAAATAAACCTTATTTTTCTTTTAGAAATGTTGCTCACAGGACTAATCTCATGGCCTCTCAGAGCCTGAAGAGAGTAAAATCTCTGGAGCTTTCCCCTCTGTTTTATTATGACTCAGTCTTGTCTTCGTACTGCCAGAATATGCCCATTCACCTAATATGTCTCTACCTTCCTACCTCTGAGATCAGAGAACATACTAGAGAAGTGGAAAGTCTCAAATTTCCAGTGTGTATCTTCTTTTCCTTCTATTTCTTAAGTGAAACTATTTTAACTTAAGAAAAATTTTGAGTATTATGTCCTATTAGGATAGACTCAAGAGATGCATTTAGAGGCTCTGCTTTTTATGAGGGGTCCTCCACAAGGATTTTCACCAACTAAAAACATATTGAATATTTATTTAGATGTCCTGAAATCTTCTGTAGCCACGTCTGCTTCCCAGTGATAGTTTTTATCCAAGTGTTAAGGCTTAATGGTCAGCCCTCAGGGTACTCTCCTAAACAATGATGTTATGGCTCAAATAATTGCCAAACTTTCTTTAAAGAAAACAAACTTCTTTCCCTTGGCAATCATTTTCAGCTGGGATGTATTACAGAATGTTTTACATTATCATGATCTTGTAATAAAACTATTCCCAAATCAGTAATTGATATGTCATCTGATACCATAAAAACATTTGAAAAGCCTGGGTCTCTTCAAACTGTTAAATAATTCATACCCTGTTTTAGTTTTTTAAAAGTTTTCTGACTTTGTGGATTTGGATAATCTTACCAGATGTCTGTTTTATTTCAAATCAATTAAAGGTGGATTAATTTGTTGTCACAAATGAGGGACAAACCTTTCATAACAATCTTTAGCTTTCCAAATGAGATGACTGGCTTTTTTCTTGGTTACGGGCATTTATTTTTTCTGTTTTTTTGTCTTGGTTATTTGACCCATGGAAGTCCATTTTGGCTTTTTGTACATTATACTATAGGTTTACCTTAAAGGATTGCACCAATCAGGGATGTCCTTGATCTTCTATTTCTGATGAAATATAGCAGTCTTCATGTGGCTTATGAAGTTGCTTTAGGTCCACTGAAGAGTCCACCAGCTGAACACTCAGAATCTTTGCAGATGAAATCTCCCATTGGAAAAAGGCAGAAATGGTCCTCAATCCATGTGCTAAGGGTTTCAAGGTCATCGCTATACACTGTTGTTTTCTGTACAGTATCCATTTCCCCTTCCAAATATCACCTATTGGGGAATTTCTTCTTCCCTATTACATGTACCCAGGTGGCACTAGTCCTCAAAAGGACGACTAGTGATGCCAGCTGGGCCAATTGGTTGCTTCCTGCTTGGAATCTGAATCTTGAGTAGAGGGATAAAAAGACTAAAGCTTTAGTCTTAAACACCCCAGTAGAAAATGATTGCCCAGGAGAATATTTGTCTCCTTTAAGGAAAGAAAGTTTGGCAATTCATTCATTCCGACGCCTGTGTCCTTATCAGATTATTGTAACTGTGCTCTGTGGACCCTCCTACGTCTCTGGGGCTGGTAGGAGGCCTGGTCTTTTAGTTGTCTCTGTTGCAAAGAAACTCACTTGTTGCATCTAGTTTTCTCCTAATACTGTTTGTTGGAATCTAAACAAATCTGTAGTTGAGATGATCTTAGCAGTCTCAAATTCCAGTAATAGTGCCTCAACTTTAAGGAAAGGAGCGTGATAGTTTCACAGAGTATTTTTTATAATCGACACAGAATCGAATTGAATGGTCTCCTTTTGTAACGAGAACTAATGAAGAAGACCAGGGATACTAGAAGTTCTTGTAACTCCTGGCTCTAATATTTCTTGAATTTACATCTTGATGTCCCCTAATACAATTGTATTAACTATGTTAGCCTTAATTGGATTTAATTATTTTCTATTTGCTTTTTGCGTGGGAGAAGAATACATGCAAACTATTTTTTTTTTGGAGGTCTTCTCAGCTCTTTTTAATTAGTCCATGCTGAAGCTTCATTATAAAATAGTAAACTCTTCCTGATTCTGACCCCTTCCTATGGGGTCATGTTTTGATTCCCAGACTTCAAAGTATTTGACAGAAAATTTTAGCATATATACATTTTAGGATTTTTTTCTTTTAAGCGATTTAAGGGTATTGCATAGAAAACTTCATCTAGATTGTCTTTCTATGCTTCTTAGCTTTGTATTAAGACCAGGTAGCATAGTGGTTAGGAGTATGAGAGTCTTGGATTAGAGTTCTGGTTCTGCCACTGATTAGTCATATGACCTAAGCCTTAAGTTTTAATTTATTCATCTGTAAAATGGGTGTTCTCAGGAAGATTAAATAAAATGATGCATACAGAATGATTAGTGTTTGGTACAGAGTAAGCAGGTAATAACTGCTAGCCATTATTATTATTTTGTTGTTATTACTGTTTCATTTTAACCACTCTGGAACGTTCTGAGATATTTTTTGGTGCTTTAGATATATTTTTCTCTATCAGACTACACATTTCTTTCTGTGCTTTCTCGTAGATTTATCTTATAAATTGTATATTTTATTCTCAACATTATTCCTTCCCA